TTTTTTTTTTTTTTTTTTTTTTGGTACAAAATTTATGAATAGATTTTATTAATTCAGCCAAAATTTAACTATAATGGTTAAATATGGAATGTGTAAAAGAGTTGGAGAAAGGTAAAAGAAAAATATAGATGCATGGTTATTTACAGAAGTACCCTTATATTAAATATGTAAAAGAGTGGGCCCTACAATTTAATGTCAATACTAAATGGTAATAAATGAGAAAGAGGGAAGGGGTAGTTATTGTGGTTCGAGCCAGCAGGTCGAATTGAAAGTGGCTTGGTATTGGTTGGCCAATCATATTCAAATTTTCATCCACCCTAACATTTATGCATACCTACTCGAGCGGCTCTCTTGCTCGAAATATCTATTTAACCTATAAAATCGAGTACGTAAGGATCCATTTTAACTAGAGTGGCAAATTCTCGTTTAAATGGAGAATAGGAGAGGAAGTAGTAAGAGATATTTCCTCGTTAGCTAAACGAGGTCAAAGACGGAGATTTTATTCATGATGACTTACTCAAACTACCTCCTTTATAACAATTCAGCTACTCACGAAAAACGTTTACTTAATTTGGAGTACTAAATTCACCGGGACTCAACTGAGAATTGTTGGAAGAGGAGTCCTACATATCGGCTAATTAAGGGGTTGATCATGTGTTAATAAGTAAGGAATATATCTTCATTGATACGAGCAAAAAGCAAAGCCACGAGAGCTTATGCTCAAAGTGGACAATATCATATCATTGTGGAGGCTCGTGATTCCTAACATGGAGATTTCCCATCTATAAAAAAAAATTAAGGAAGTAGAGAGAGGTTCTTTCAATTAACTAAACGGGACGGAGGACGAAGTCGAAAGAAGATTCTAGTAATCAAATCACCATTTGTCTCGAAAAGGATCAAGGTCGGTGGTTGGCATCTGGAAAAGTCGAGCCAATCATATTCAATTTCCAAGAACAAAATAGACAGTTTAATATTCCCTAAATTTCAAGAAAATACTGAAACGGGTAAACCTGTAATAAATTTTTGTGACGACCTAATTTACGTGATTAATTTCAAATCAATGTAAAAAGACAACTCATATAGTACTATCATAATTTAATGAAAAAATCTGAACAAGAAGCGCTCTCTCGACCTTTGAACTTATATGAAAATGACAATTTAGTCCCTAAATTTTTAGTATATAACATTTGGGTGGTTGAGATCTATTCTCATATACATTAATTTAACCAACCTTTTTATTTCTTTTTGTCCCTTTTTCATTATTATATACTATTTATTGGTTTAAAATTATCAATATTTCGTGTAAAAGTGGACAACAAAAAGGACCCTTTTACTTTTTTGAAAATTATTGTTGTTATTATTATTTTATAAAGTTTTTCTATTAAATTTTATTTTAATTTATTCGATTTAATAATTAGTAGAGGTTAAAAATTTCGGGTTGGTCTGTAAGTTGACTTTTTTGGTTTGGTCAATCCAATCAACACAGAAATAGAGTTATAATCCAATCATGTCATACTTACTTTTAAAATTATTAAAAAAAAATTAAAATATTTAACATCTATATCGGATACTAGTGATTAAACTTTTTTTTTTTTTTTTTTTTTTTTTTTTTTTTTTTTTTTTTTTTTTTTTTTTTTTTTTGGGTTGGGTTGAGTTGGGTTGGATTGGATTGTCAACTCATCCTAAACCTATTTATTTACGAACCTATTCTGTAAAGTCAGTTGAGCATTGGGTTGGATTGAGTTGTGAATAAACGATCACCAAGATGGGGTTGGGCTGGGTTAGATTGTGAACTTTATTCCATTTCCTAGACTAATTTAGGGAATGATCATGGATTTATAATCAAGTAATACTGTCTCAATTGGTATAAGGTTTTTTTAGAAGCTAAAAGCAAATCCATAAGAGTTTATGCTCAAAGTAGACATTATACCATCGTAAAGAGTCGTGTTCATCTAACAACCTGGGTTACTTGGGTCACCAAATTGAAGTTGGGTTAGGTTGAACATGAGAGCTTGTGCTCAAAGTGGACAATATCATATCATTGTGGAGAGTCGTGTTCATCTAACGACTAGGGCTACTTGGGTCACCAAATTGGAATTGGGTTGAGTTGAATCTAATCGTGAACTCTATTCCACATACTCAGGTTATCGATTCAGACGATTTTTCCAACCCAACTTAATCTATATACCTCGCTAATTCCTTAACACGAGCAAGAACAATGAAAAGGGCGAAAAAGAGAGATATAAATGAAGAAGAGAAGAAGAAGAACCTGGAAAAATTGGGAGATTTGTTGAATGATAAAGTGTTGGTAAGCTGAGAGAGTGAATGTCTTTCTTCGAAGCGGTAAATTGAAGTAAGTGATAACGAAATCATTGGTTCCTGCACTGATAAAAAACACTGTATTTTTTATATGCCTTTTTGTTCTTTGCTTCCCCATTACTCCCTCCAATCTCTCTTTATATTCTCTGAAATACTCCACTTGAGTGTCGATTGCCACCACGTTCTGAACAAAAACAATTCATTATTATCGAACCGCCTATATCCACCGTAAGTAGATATTGTCCTTTTTGTGCTTTCCCTTTCGGGCTTTCCCTTAAATAGGGGAAGGTTTTCACACCTTTAGAAAGGGGGGTTTGTTCTCCTCCTCAACCAATGTAAGACATCGCAACAAATCGGTGGAGTACGTGTTAATGGTATGATATGCTCTACATTCGGCATAAACCCTAGTGCCTTTGGTTTGAGCTTCCCCAAAAGATCTCAAATGAATGAAGATCGTATTACTTATTTATAAACTCATGATTATTCCTTTAATTAGGAAATGTAGAGAGCTCATAGGCTTAAGGTGGTAAAAAATGACTGTCGAACAAAGGATGTACTTTGTTCGAAGACTCTAAAGAAAAGAGTCGAGCCTCGATTTAAGGGAGGCTATTCGAGGACTCCATAGGAGCCTTATGGTGTACTTTGTTCCAGGGAAAAAATTGTCGGGAGAGAATCCAATACATCTCCATTGGTATGAGCTTTAAAAGCCCAAAACACCCGAATTTATGCTCAGAGTGGATCATATCATACCATTGTAAATGAGCCTTTTAGAAGAATTCAAAGCAAAGTTGCACTAGCTTATATTAAAGTGGACAATATTATACTATTATTGAGGGTCTAGCTTGAGCCATTTTAGGGAGCTAAAAGTAGAGTGGACAATATCATACCATTGTGGAGGATAATGATTTATAACGGTGGTATTAAGTATGGTAGTACGTACCCCAACTTTGGGAGTCAGCGGGTCGAAGCCAGAGCCGGCGGAGGCGAAACTGACGCCGGTGATTAAATCGTCGACGGTAAGCGACGGGTCAAGATACGGCGGAACATAATCCTTGACACCGAAGTAAGAAGCGATAAAATCTGTGCTAAGGCGGCCATTGGAGAATCTTCCGGTGGGGATATGGAAGGGAAAGTCTCTGCCGTAGGGAGGGAAGTTGCTTCGGAAAATGGTGGGGACGAAGTTATTGTTGCCGGGGTCGACGGTGGAGTCGCCGAACACTAAAAGGGCCGACACCGACGAGTTGGTCGGCGGGGATTTGGAGAAGGAGAGGGGGAGGTGGAGGAGGAAGATGAGGGCAAAATGGGAAATAGAAGGGTATGGGTTGCACTGATTCATGTCAGTTCAGGGTCGGCGGAATTGAATTGGCGGAGGAGGACGGCGGAAATGGGGGAATCAAGAGCGGCCGAATCAGGAACTGGAGTGGCAGTTTTTATCGCTAATGGGATATTTGTATGACGAAATTGCCCTTGTTGGCTGCTTTTATTGAAAGTGGTTGAGAATCCTGTTGGTTGGAGTTATGGAGGGTATAAATGTAAATAACCTTTCCCTTCGATTTGGGTTTTCTTTATATGAGATTTGTGAGAGTGGAAATAATAATATATATTAAATTTTTAGGTAGATTAATTTGAGATGTTTCAAAATTAATAAAAAAAAATATACCCATAAATAAATATAATTTTAATTTTAATAATATCTTTAAATTTAAAAATTAAAAAATATTTTTACCCCAATATTTGGATGAAAAATTGTTAGTTTTTTTTTTTTTTTTAGCTTTAGAAAAAAAAAATATATACAAAAATGACATAATTGAAAAAAAAATAAAAATAAATATAAGATCTTGTGAGTCTTGAACAACATTTTGAGTCACTATCCTACGTGAAAATCATTTGAAGTCACCTGTCTAATCAATTTTGACACGTTTCTATCACTTACTCATATTTTATCCATAAGATAGTTTCGAGAATTCTCTTGTATGTATTTGAGAACAGAGTAAAAAATATTTTTTATCCGTTAAATAAATAAGATAGAGGACGAGATTATATTCCTTTAATATAAATATATTTTCAACACATATTAAATAATTAAATTAGTTAGGAAGACTTGATTATAATATTTAAACGTAATTATGTTATATATACCAAAAATAATAATAATAATAAAAAGCTGATTTAAATTAAATAATTTTGCAGATGAAACAGTATTTTTCAGGTAATTATTAATTTAAATTGATATGAACCCATTGTAATAGGCTGTCTGCCAGTAAGCTATTCCTACGTTTTCGGTCCACTTTTTACATTATTTTAAGTAACTTATGGGTCTTTAATTGAATGATTAATTTTTATAAAAAACCCATATAAATTATTCGTTTCAATAATAATAACAATAATAATTATAAATTAAAGTTCACATGACCAATTAAATATATATATATAAAGTATAATTAAACCCTTAAATATTGTAAAATGAAATTACAATTTAACCTAATACTTTTAATTATATAAAATTTTAAATACTATTATTTAATTATTAAAATCATTTTTAAATCGATAAAAAAAACATTGTCCCGATTTAAGAAACAAAAGAAAAAAAACTTATTTAGGTATAATCTCTTAATCAAAACATCAGATTTAATTTTTTTTTAAAAAAAAATAATTTAATTTGTTTCTTCTCAAATATTTAAAATTGCAAGTAAATAAAAAAAATGAAAACACTAGTGAGAAAAAAAAAGATTCACAAAATAGAAAAATAGAGCAAAATTAGAATATGAATAATAAAAAAATTTAATCCTTTTTTTATTTTCCCTTTTTTCATGGAAAATTAATGTAAACCACCTTTTATATTATTGCTTATTTATTTATTGTTCTTTTCTTTTTGTTCATCAAATCTACATGTATCTAATAACTTATTCCATTGTTATATAATAATAATAATAATTATAATTATTACCAAAAAAAAAAAAGGGGGGGAAAGAAAAGAACAAACCACCAAATCTTGGAGCTCAGAAAATATCTGTTTTGTGTGAAAGTTGTTATACGGACATGTCAGAGTTTCATGTTGAGCTTTCTTTTGGTAGTGTCGGCCGGCGGGAACCGGAGGAAGGACGACGCGTCGCCGGAAAGCACTAAATTGGGCAATAACTGAGGTGGGTTGTCGGAGTTGTGGTCGAAGCTAATGAAATTGGAAGCGTTGTAATAATCCACATGGGCAGTGGAATCGGAGTGGTGGTTGGCGTCGGCGGCGGCGGCGGCGGCGGCGGTGGCGGTGGAGTTGCACTGTCGGGGCTGAGTTTGGTAAAAAACTTTAGAGACGACTAGTTCGCCGTCTTTCTCTTCCTCGTTGGTGCCGAGGTGGTACTGGTGCATGACCCAGTTGGTTTTTTCTGGCTTTCTTTGGCGGCCGTAGTTTGTGTAGAGGACGAGGATTTTCTTGAAGCCTTTTACTACGCCGCCGACCAATACGGGTCGGGTTTTGCCGGTTTTGTGCCAACGGGTTTCATTGCCTTCCTCGTTGGTGTGGACTTTGCGGCGCTTTCTTGTTCCGGTCGTGTAGGCCTTCGACGGTCGGTGGAAGAAGTGCCGGATTTGCCCGTCTTGGCTCACTCCTGTCCCGATGTCATGAAATAACTTTTAAAAATTACGATTCTCCACAATAATATGATATAAGTGTTTACTTTGAATAGAGTTTTAATAACTTTGCGGAAAAGTTTTAATAACTTTGCTTTAAGCTTCCGCAAGAGGCCTCATACCCATAGAGATAATATTCCTCACTTTTATAAACTTATGATCTTCCACTAAATTAACCCAGGTGAGACTCACACTCAATAATCTTCAACAATAAGCTCTAATAACATCAAACATATTTGGTTTTACCTCTCGATTTTAATATATATAAGGAGTGGGGACAGAACAAGGAGCATAATTCTCAGTCTCGACACCGTTTAGCTATCAAAAATAACTCTATGTTTCCTCCCCCATTTCACAGTCAAGTCTACCATTAACGGATATTGTTCTCTTTGGAATTTTTCTTTTGAGTTTCCAAAGAATGTTTCATTCCCCTCTTCAACCATTGTGAGATCTTACAATACACTAGGCAGTGTGCTAGTGAGAGGACGGTGAGCTCCGTAATGGGTGGACACCAGGCCTGAAGGGGTTAATTGTGAGATTCCACATGGAGTGGAGAGGGAAACCAAACATTATTTACAAGTGTGTGGAAACCTCTCTAAAAAACTTGAAGGAAGAGTTTGAAAGGGAAACCTCAAAAAAGACAATATTTACTAAAAATGGACAAGATATATATTTTACTGATTAAACAGACATCTCTATCTAACATAAAACACATCATCACAATCAAATTCCCAGACATAATTTTCAATTTAAATTTTTTTTGAAACATTTATGAAAGAATTACCGGGAAGCTTTTGAGGGTGAGTATAACAAATCCCATTCTCGCCTTCAAGAGTAGGAATGAACTCATCGATAAGAGGATGAAGCTTATGAACATCAGACAGAGCCGCCTTAGCCTGCAAATGGTCAAGAATTTCCTGATCCGTGGGGTCAAACTTCACCCCAGCTGGTAGTCCAGGCAGATCATGAATCCCAGCCTTCATGATTTCCAACACCAATCATTCATGAACCAATCCAATAGAACACAATAGAAGGCATGATCATTAGAACACTAACCTGGTCTTGTAACTCAATATGAAGGCCACACGAGGGGCAGCGCAGGGCTGGGGCAGTAGAGGACTCATCATCATCGGAGCCACTGCACCAAGTCATTATTGGGACCAGCTTGGGAACACTCGGACATAAGAACAAAAAGGAGGTTATGATTGGAGAAAAGATCACATAAAAAAGCTTGCTTGGACGTCAAGTTTGAATTTGTTCTTGTTCTTGTTGTTGTTCTTGTTGTTCGGGTAGCTCGAGCGTCATAGTTGGAGTGAGATTAAAGGTATGGAAGATTGAAATTTGTATATTCCTACTTAAAAACTCTTCCTTTGACTCTACTTCTCAGCTCAAGCAAGGAATCCTTCTTTTTTCATGGAGGTCTTAAAAATGGAGTAATCATAAGAATGTTGCAGGGAGAGAGAGAGAGAGAGAAGGAAGAAGAGGGTATTATTATTATTATTAATAAGATGCCTAAACTATTGCCTTAGCTTAACCTACACGATTGGTGAGATTTTGGCATATATATACATATATCTTATCTCTTTGGGATTTTGCTCTATGTGATCTATCTTACATGCACCTCTTCCACTTTCACCGTCGTTATCTAGATACCCGATAATCATATTATGAAAAATCTCTTTTTAGTAGATGGGTTCTGAAAATTTTGAGGTGGGCTTGAGCCGTTTACAATGGTATCACCGCTCGACCCTGGGCAGTGTGCTAGTGAAGATTCTAAGCCCGAAAAGGAGTGGACAATGGGTGTAGTGCTAGCAAGTACGCTAGACCTTAAAGTATTCTTTTTATAAGGGAAGCTTGGAAGAGAAAGCCCAACAAAGATAATATCTACTGGATTTGTGTTGTTACACTTTTATAACCCAAATCTTTATTTCAAAACCTTAATGGGACCGTTTAAAATATTTGATGAAAAATAAACAAACAAATATTATTGAATTTATTAGGAAAAATATACATTTTAAAACTTAAAAAAAATAAAACTACAAGATCTAGAAAATGTGGAAGACTGGATCAAAGTCAAATGTGGAATTTGGCAAGTCAACTGAATGTAAGGAGTAGATGAAATTGCTAAACCCGATACTACGGTGGACTTGGCCGTATGTGAAAATTCACCATGGCCGTCAACGTCCGTAATCTTCTTCGACAAGCCAAAGCAACCAGAAGCTTAGGTATTAAGCTTCACGAAATTTACAAAATATTATTAATATTTATTTATTTATTTATTTTCTTTTTTCCGTATTTTAATTTGTTTTCTAATTTTCATCTAAATTAATATATTGTAATATTATGCTATCTAAAAAGGAAAGTTTCTAATAATTATTTTCTTTTTTTAATAAATTTTATTATTTATTTATATTCCACAAAATTATTTAATATAATTTCGAAATCTATTGAAAATTTAAATATAGTTCAATAAGTAAAAATATATATATTTTATAAGTTCAAATTTTTCGTTCTAACACGTTTTTTAATCTAAAAAAAAAAAACTTAAATTAAATGCTCGAGTTGGTTCAAAATTAATTTTAATTATAAATTAAATTGAGTTCGTCATCCCGTTGAATAAAGGTTGGATGATATAAAAGATGGTTGACTTAATAATTTAAAAACATTATGAAGCTTTTAATTCAAGGCTTAATTAAGCTTTGAAATTGAGTTTCTTATCGATGATTCTAGAATTGAGCGTAATTAGTTCAAATATGGATACGAATTGTTTTAATTTTAACTAATTAACATCAATTATTTCTTATAATACATAAATTAAATAAGCAATGAATCATTATTTTTATTTTCCGTATGCTACTTTTTTAATATATTCGATATAAAATATGTGTTATAAAATTTTCATAATGCTTACCTTATAATAATAATACATTACATAATATAAAAAAATATATTTTAAACATATTGTTTTTAAAAATATTAAGTGACATGCTATATGAACGAGACCTATCATTTAAAAGCGTATTGTCTTAGGTGGCCTACTAATCCAGATGGATGTGTAGTCCTTCCTACACACAATCTACATGTATGAGCATGGGTTCACTAGGCAGGCTTGTACACCCCCTAGACCTACTAGTTGGGCTAGCTCCTCTAGATTGTAATTGGACATCCAGAGATATAGCGACCCCATCATGTCAAATATGATGGTCATTTCAATCTCATAGTGTACACGTCAGTACTCATCACAAATGAAAAGCATCCAGTGCATGTATGTATGTATGTATGTATATATGAAAAAAGGGGAAGACCTTGAGTCTTGGAGATCCATTATTTTAGAGGTTGATTGTGACCGCAAAGGGTGACTTTAGTCAACTTGTGCAAATTGACCCATTTGTATAAACTCTGTCCAATTGTTAACTTGACTCGATTGACATGGGTCAGCATAGTATTTTAGTAGCTAATATTGACTTTAGAGTCGCATCTTACTATGATAGTGCAATTTGGAGACTGTCAACAGATCGTTAGTTAATCTCTAATAGGGAATTTGTCCGGATTGGTAGGGGTTTGTATCGTACCGATATGGTTTATAAGGTTCAGCCTTGAGATGAATGAACTTATAGAGCCATATGAGTGCTTTGTGGTTGTGATTAAAGGATCTCCAACTATTCCTTAGTTGTGATGTTGTACAGTTTAGGACAAGTGATCACATAGGTAAATGAAAGTTGGGAGATACGAGTCACTCTCTCTTTAATGATATTGACCTTATAAGACATACTAGAGAGATGCCGACTAAGCTATACTAGAGAATGTCCTTATAATGAGAAATATGGAATGAAACTATGACGAGATTACGCCAAAAGCACCTATGATATGATATGTAAGTATGTATATATATATATATATATATATATATATATATATATATATATATATAAGCTTATAAGTATTCATAGCGTAGAAAAACCACCGATGAATTGAATATGTAACGACTAAAATAATTTTTTGTATCCGACTAATACTTAGTATTACGTTTAAAAATACCTTCGCATTCCTAATCAGGGCCGAGGCTTTGTTTGCCTCAACATAGCGAATGCATCCTTATCTAAATAATATTTCTAAATTTTCAAAAGTTTCAATAATATCGTTATAAAAAAATATCCTTACCATTAATATTTTGTTTTGATTTTTTTTTTAATTTTAATAAAATTTTAAAAAGTTTAAAAATATATTGATTTAAATTTTAAAAATAGCATGAATATCATTTACCTTCATTAAAAAAAGTTTAAAAAGTTTTTACTTTAAATAATTCATAGATAATTTCTTTTTCTTAACGTTATTTTTGAAAATTTATTAATATTTTTGAAACGGGGTAATAAAAAATTATTTTTAAAAGTTGAAAGATATTAACGAATTTTTTAAAAACTTGAGGTATTTTTGAAATATTGAAAGTTAAAAAATAAGTTTAAATATTTTTTAATCTAGTTTAATACAAAACTAATTAAGAATATTATTTTTAGATTTTATTGATTTTTTTTTCAAAATTGAGCCAGGAAAAAAATCATTTGTTTTATTCTTCACGTTCCAGATTACGTCCCGTGTCATTAGATAAGAATCCGAAAATGAAGGGAGAAACAAATAATATTACTATTAACCTTAGGGTATTTTTGAGATATTGAAAGTTAAAAAATAACGAGTTTAATACCAAACTAATTAAAAATATTCTTTTTAGATTTTATTGAATTTTTTTGAAAGTTCATTTTCGATTAAAACCAAAGGTAAAAAGTGGATATTTAATATTAAATTATAATTTATTATAGATAAATATCTAAATATTTAGCTTGCTAAATTAATATCTTTTCATATATAATATTTCATTTATTATTATTTTCATATGTGGTAATTTATTTGATTATATTTTTATTTTTATTTTTAAAAAAATGAAATAGGGTAATTCAAAATTTGAAATCTACATAAAAAAAAAAAAAAATTAAATTCCCACAAATGAATGGGATGGAAGTATAATATTATATTAAATAAGGGTATGGTCCCATATTTTAAAAAATAAAGACATATAATTCCCTTCTCAGTAAATTAAATTATGGAGAGTGACATATGAATGAAAAATGGTATTTTTGTTTTTTTTTTTCATTTTTTATTCTTAAAAATACCAAACTGTAAAATAAATAAATAAATATACAAAATTTAAAATTACTATTTAAAATTTAAAAAAGTCAGATAACATATACAATAGGGTAAACCTAGACAGTTGAGTCAGTAGAAACTAACAACTCTAATCAATATTTTTGTGAGATCTCTTTTTAGTAAACGCATTTTAAAATTATAAGACGGGAGAATACAATATTTTCTAGTGATGAGTTTAGGTATATAGGAGATATAAAATATTAATATAAATAAAATAAATAAAATGAAATCTCGTATATAAAAATAAAAGGATTAAATTTTTTTTTTTAAAAAAAAACGGGGGCATTAATTGGGGATATAGAGCAGCCGGCGGACAGCGGCGCAATGGCAGACGGTGCAGGGCGGCGGTGCTGTACGGTTGGATTGCACCCTCAAATCCTTACCACTTTTAGATTTCTAATTTTCTCTCTTAAATATTCATAAATGTTTTAAATAATAAATATTATCTAAATTAATACTTGTTATTTTAAATTTTATAGAAATTTAAAAAGCTAATTTTGGATGAAAAATATTAATATTTTATTTTAAATATATAAATTTTAATTTTTAAACGCACAAGAGTACCTATTAAATCCAATAGTATTATTTTTAATATTTTTAAAATAAAGTTGAAATGTATTAATGAATTTTTTTAAATTTCAGAAATATTTTGAAATTTTATTTATTTTAGAAATTTTTTTACAAAAATTAATTTTATGTTTTTTAAATTAAAAAAATAATAATAATAATATAGAAATAATGCCACAACTTGTGCGCAAGGCAACTCTCTGCCAATTCGTACATTTTTCTTCTCCCCACAACTGTAACTAACTGCCCCACCAAAATAAATATAAATAATAATTTATTTGTACTTTTAAATCTATTTTTTAAAATATTTAAATATTTAGTTTTTATTTATCTTTAAAAAATGTAATATTAATGAAGGAATATATTCCAAACTTAAAGAACAAAAATGGTATTTATTTTTATTTTTCCAAGGAGTTTACCATCATCAATGGTCCAATGGTCCAAGTTAGTTTGGTTTGATATCAAGAACGGATTAACTTGTTTGGCTTGAAACAATTCTGTGTTAGTTGATCTTTTGAAATTTTTTATAATTATGTTAGAGATTTTCACATAGCGTTCTCGCTGTCACTTGTTCTCCTCTCAAATCGATGCGGGACCCCCCAATCTACCCTTCTTCGGGCCTAATGTTCTCGCTGGT